ATCTGCAAGTTGGATTTAATGGTATTTATAGCTTGTGGTGGCAAATTTGATATAACTGTAGTTATAGTTTATGTCTGCAAGTATTTATAGTTTCTGTCTGCATGTTGGATACAACGGTATTTATAGTTTGTTGTGGCAGGTTTGATAAAACATACGTTAATATTTATGTCTGCAAGATGGATACAGCGGTATTTATAGTTTATGGTGACAGGTCTGATAAAACGTAAGTTAAAGTTTATACATGTATCTGCAAGTTGGATTTAACGGTATCTATTGTAGCTTGTGGTGGCAGGTTTGAAATAACATGTAGTTAACGTTTATGTCTGCAAGTTGGATACAGCGGTATTATAGTTTGTGGCGGCAGGTTTGATATAACTGTGTTGATATCTTTTGTCAGCAAGTTTGATATAACGGTATTTATGGTGTATGTCTGTCAGTTTGATATGACTTTTTCTTTAGACTCTCTCAGCAAGTTAGATACAATAGCCTTTAAAATCAGGCGTTAATTACAAGCCGTCAATTACCCGTTTCAGTGTAACATTGACACACAACAGGAGACTTAATTTGTACGATGAAATTAAATAAATATATTAATGAGTTACCTCGCTTTCTGCGACGAAAACACCGAGGCATTTCTGTGACAAATGTAATTCATGATAATGTTATTGTATGCATTATTTTCGCAGATGACGTTGTAAATTGTGCTGACACAGCAATTAAGTTTACAATTTTGCTCTATTTATGACTTTTTCAGTAATATAAGCATGTCTATTTATTGATGAGCAAAAACCGAAAATATTGTGTTCAGAAACGGTGGACCGTCACGAACATTGTTTATGTAATTATATTACTCACTTTTGTTTATAACTATCAATATATTAGAAAGTGCTGTACATAAATCATATGAAGTAAAATGTCACGCTATCATTAGTAGAATACTTTAATTGTAACAGAAATCTAAAATAAATAAGAATTGTATGAGGATTTGGATTATGAGGTGGTATCTGCTTCACTTTTTTATCTTGTAACCTCGAGATATTATTATGCTCTGGCTACAACTTATTATTTTGGCGCATCAAAATATTATTATCTGGCCACAATTATCAATCATAGATAATAGTGATAATAATAGTTATAAAAATAATCATAATAATAAGTATAATAATTATAATAAAATATATTAATTAAAATAATAAAAATAATATTATTATTATTATAATAATTATTATTATTATTATTATTATTATTACTATAATTAGTTTTTGTATCATCGCCTTCATCATTATTATTATTATTACTATCATTATAATTATTATATAATAAAAGTACATGTACATTGCTTTATTTCTTAACAATGTACTAAGTGCTGTGCATTTTCCCCTTTGTATAGAAATATTTAAATGGAATGCAGTATATAAACAATGCATCAGCACTGTAAACTAACATGTAACGACATAATGAACATCTACAAGTGACAAAAATCCTGCAGCTTGTGAATGCTTCAACCTCCCGTCCTCCACGCTCCGGCCCTACAACAGCTCTGTTTTCTGGATATGTTTGGGTTCCTGAAGTGATAATTTCAACATCCAAAAAATTAGACTGTTTTGTGTGTTTGTGCGTGCGCGCACGTGTGTGTACGTGTGTGAATGAAACAGATTTTGTGTGGTAAAAGAACGGACCCTTTCCACCAGAAATGTTACATTGTTCTTATTGTTCTAACCACTGTGTTCTGCGCACCCTCTTACCTTAAGTAATGGATTCTTCCTTCGTTGGCACTGTCAAAGAATAATCAATTTCTATTCATAGATATATTATGTTTGTTTCAGTAGTCCTCGCAAATTCACCAGTGATGAGACAATTCAATTTCTGTTTCGTTTCTTTTTTTTTTCTTTACATTAGAATTAATTATTACCAGTGGTAACAATGGTAAGATTTTTATTTATTGAAATTTGAAATATTCCACTGTATTTTTTTTAAATGTCTTTACATTCTTTTACTTTTTCTGCCGGAAGTGATAGCAGACGACACTTATCTTTTTTCAGTTTTAGCAAATTATTCAATATACTGCAATTGATTTTTTTAGCTTGTATTTGCTATTATACACGCTTACTTTAAACTTCATTTTCATGATATATACTACTGTGGCCCTCTTAGTTCACGGTACTTAACGCTTTGAAACAAGAAAGAAAATAACAAATGAAACTTACGGTACAAAAATTGTCATAAGCTATAACATATATGTTTTTTCTACTATATGACACAAGGAAACAACAATATATTGAGTCAAAGTCAGTTTTAATGTACCAGATGCAGACCACTAGTCGGCCATTTTCTCATCATTTAAATCGCGGTAATGGTGTTACATTTCATTTTTATCATGTTTCAGTAAAAAATTCAACATGTTTATTTGTTTAATTTTAAGTATTAAAACTATCCTTTCTTTGTAGCTCAAAATTTATTTTTTCAACAAACATGAACATTTGAAAAATCATGTTGTTTTTTTCAGACGTTGCACTAAAGCTGCTTTTTGCAGAAATTTGTAAAATTTTGTTCTGTTTTGTGTAAAAATCTAGAGATTTAAATATATTTTGTACAAAAACTTTGTTGTTTAGGCGTATGAATAAAATATGTCAATTCTGACCAATTCTAACACTGGTCACATGAAATTATGCCATAACCATGAAATTAGTGATGACGCAGAATTAGTGATAATGAGTATAATATTTCGATAAGATCTTAGATAGCTCTGTATTTGAAAGCCTAATTCATGTTTGAGAAGAAGGTGGCTTAGTACTGAATGTGTGAAGGTTGGAGGGAGGGGATATCTACTTTGTGAGAACTAGAATTTCCGTATGCTAAATTTATAACTTACACAATGAGGATGAAACATATGTCAACCTCGGGGTGTTTAGTATCGTACACATCTTGCTTGGTAATGGTAATGTTTGATTTTTTTCTTGTTAATACTAATATAACCCATATAATTATAAACAGCTTTGGTATCATCAAGAATTCATATACCCATTTTAATGTCCCTCTGAGGCAATTATCAATTGTGTTCGAGGTCCTTATCCGAACTTTGGTGGGAAGGGCGACTGTGTATGGCCATTAAAATGGGTAATTGAATATTTGCCTACTTCAAAACACATAATATATCATTCTTGAATAGTATGCATATGGTATTTCTGTCTAACCTACGCAAGAAACTAACCATGTAAAATGTAATTCAATGCTGGGAGTTGATGACTGAGTGTTTTTTTTCTCCACTTTATCAAGTATAAGTATACCGAAATTAAGTAAATTTGGAGATATAAAAGTAAACAATGCATTTTTAAAGGGACTCCACTGAGGTTTTTTTACATGATGGGACTGAAAATATGTTTTCCAGATAAATATACTATTTGATGTAGGTTTAGACCACTAATCTTTGTGCAAAGTTTCAGATCATTCGCGTACTTTGTTTTTCCAGAATCATTATTCAAATTTAAAAAAAAATGACATAAAATAAAAAGCGTTTAAACGCTATTCACTCAAATCGGGCTAAAAAAGCATAAACATACGATTTTATACGATTTTTAATTTATTTCAAAGTGTATTACCTCACTATCTTTTCAATTATTTCTGTTTAAAGTGTCCCAGCTCATTCATGTAAGAAATTCAAATGTTATGTATTTAGGCTTTTATACTTCAGTGGAGTCCCTTTAAGTTTATTGAACAAAATGCCAACCTGTTGACATAGAGTCGAGTATGTTTATAATTTGATTTCAACATGGTTATCAGATACTTTCAATCAAACTTGTACCGAAACAGACTTTTTTGGATGTCAAATATTTACACCCTTTTCTGTTTTACATTATCAAAGATTTCACTCTGTGTCTTTGATGTAAAACCACGTGGTGGAAGTACATTTATAGTCTAATTTTACTGACCTGTCAAATATGAATACTAGTACATTATAAGATGTATTTGAATATTCGATCTAACTTCGGTTATATCCACGTAATTAACAATGGTTAATATGGAATATAAACATAATGTTTTGAAAAGTCACACAATAAGACTTTATATGTCGTAATCACATCCTGCTAAGTGATTGCCTTATATACCAGTGGTCGGTGGTCAGAAGATAACTTTTGTCTTAGTTTTTTTTCTTTATTTATATTTATTTTGAAGTATTTTTAAATAGAAATGACCAAGTGTTTGCACAAATGTAGAACACGCCAATTAGCAGTTATTCCTATTGCGTTCAAATGCTCAGTAAAACAACATGTTTTTTACAGAAACAAATAAATGCTAACACATGTTATAAGGTGCTATGCCGAAAATCTACAGTATATCTATATATTGTCTGCTTTGACCGTATAATCAGTATGCTATCGACCGGTTAATAAAATCAAACAAGGGCCGTATTAAGTCTGATTATGAATAATAGCCGAGAAATTCCGATTAGGCAAAATGAAAACGATGGAGAAAACAGGAGGAATAACTTCATGTTTCGATTAAAAAGATTTCCTTCCTGATTCCCTCTCCGTGATAACGATTTGTTTTCATATTTTTAATGTAAAAATATCATTTTAAAGCGGTTCAAACATGTTAAACATATATCGTTCTTGGTGTTTGATCATGCAATGAACTATAGAAGAAACATTTTCTTCTTTAGCTTGTCCACACCCTCTCCCTCCAATTCTTTGGGTTCAGAATGAAGAAGGAAAATGTTTATTTTCAAGCATACAATGAATTAATAATAACGATGGAATGGAAAACTTCGTTTTGTATATGAATTTATGCAATTATTAAAATAAGGTTTAGATAAAGTTATGCATTGTTAAAGTTAAACATAGCATCTGAATATAGGGTTACATATCTACTTTTTATTTGCCGTATACATTATATGATGATTTAACCATGTAAAATTTAAGTTAGTAAACACCTCATATTACATATATTATTCGAATAGAAAGATTGTCACTGGTTAACACTTTTTTCTATTTTCTTTTCAGAACTTCAATGCGACATGATTAAATTTTACAGAAAAAGGTGTAGCTCAATACCACTCTCCCCGCTTCTTGAAGAAATAGAGACACCTCTAGCTGGATTCTTTGTGATGCCAGATATAGTTGCGGTACAACAAAAATCCCCAACTTGTCATGAAGAGGTAAGAAAACCGATCAGGTCTTTGAAAGACCTGTTTTCAACCGGCAGTGGAGATCAACAAGAAATTTATCTATCAGCTGATGCAGGCCTTGGTAAAACTGCTTTCTCAAAATATCTTGCAATCACGTGGTGTCAAGCTCATAACCACGATGAAAACTACGCCTGTTTTAAAGATGATGAGTTGAAAACGTTATTTGACTTTAAGTTCTTATTTTTGGTTTTATTAAGAGACTGTGCCTCTGTTTGCAACATTGACGATATGATTGAACAGCAAATAATTAAGAAACTGCCTTCTTCTGCAACAATACATGAAGTCTTACGTAAAGAAAAATGCTTGATTATATTGGACGGTCTTGATGAATGGACTCATCCTGATAATAGCTGTAGCGAAGCAAGAGAAAAAATCCCACATCGGTACGTACGTGATAATTGTGTTATCCTTACGACAACTCGACCGTGGAAGCTTGGATTTGCAAATCTCAAAACGAGTCAAATAAACAAAAAAGTAGAATTGGTTCAATTAAGTGCAGGTTCCATACGGCAACTAGAAGAAAATGCTATTAGAAAAATGACAGGTGTCCGTGACGATAGAGTACTGGAGAGTAAAATATGGAACTTTAATGAAGTGATAAGTGACCGTCGCCTAGAGCACATGCAAGTGATTCCACTCCTCCTAATGTATATAGTTTGCCTATGGTGTAACAACATTCCAATAGGAAATTCAAAACATGAAATTTACACCAATATCATTGAATTTCTATTATCAAGAACGTCAAAGAAACACCCGGAAGTTCAACTATCTCGTGATTCTACAGCTAGTGAAATTCCAGATAACTTCAAAAAACATGAATTTTGTAAAAAGTTTTATGGTCTTATAACATCATTAGCAGAACTAGCTTACCAAACATTAATAAACAAAAACAGAGAAAATACGCTGGTATTTGATAGAACGGTTGCTGATATATATCTCAAAGCAGACGACATGAAATTAAGTCTTCTCTCAGGAATACTGTCAGAAAGTAGAAGTAAAACTTTAATTAAGGAAATTATTAAAGTATCGTTTTCTCACAAAACAGTGCAAGAATTCTTTGCCGCCATATTTCTAAGTTTTCAAAGTGACGCTAAGAAAATTGTTGTAGAAAAATGTAGTAATGTTCAAGACATTCTGGACATGTCAAAAAGTTGTGAATTTATAAGTGAAATGAATGCTGACCGGATGTGTGAAATATCACGTGATTTGATGTCTGTGATAAATGAAGACAGGATAACACGCGACTTTAGAACTAAGAGAGGTTACGAGTACTCCATGTACATTCATCCATTGTATAACATACAGAAAATGTTCATGTCGTGTTTAAAAGCAATGCCTGAAAGTGAAAATATTCAATTATGTTTACAAGATTTCTTCATTGACAAGTTCACCGAGGACAGTAAACTGTTACAACGTTTGTTAAAACAAAATAAAACCAACATAAAATCACTTTATATAGACACCAGGTTTACTTCCAGACGTTTACGTGAAATTATAGATTTATTCTCTCTCACAGATCTCAGTCATATACAGAAACTTTACTATCATGGTGGTATGGAGAAGGAGGCTGAGATAGATCGGATATTGTTTCCCAGTTTACGGTGCGTTACTTTGTTGTGGGGTATATGGTCAAATGATGAAGAAAATGTAAAGAAAAATTTGGCGCGAGTACAAAACTTACAATATTTATATATTGATTTCTTCACGTTATCTCACAAAATACTGGAAACATTTTACAAGTTTATCTCCGCTCAAAAATCAATGAAAGAGTTAAAATTGTTGGGGTTATACTGTAAAGAACATGACCATTTTTCTTGTATATATTGGACTGGGACTTGTCTCAACATTAAACACTATCAGAGTTAGACTTGTCGAAGTTACCTGGGAGGCTACAATTAAATATATCAACATCGTCATTAGTTAATGTTACATTGCAATGGATCAATCTAGAGGAAAGTTCATTGTTACTGTCACGTGACATGTTTAATATTGAACGTGTGGAATTGAGGGATATAGAAATGTCTGCAGGAAGTTTACAGAACTTTATAACCGTGCTTGAAAATCTGCCGCAGTCAGTTACAGTAGTGATGTACGACATTACACCGAAAACAGAATATGACCGTGTTAGAGAAAATATTCGGAGATCACAAACTTTTCATGTGATACGAGACGACTGGATCTTTGAGTTCAAAACAATAAAACCAAGAAAAGAATAAACAAAGGAAAAACATTGTAAAATAAACTGACTTCAATAATTTTAAATAACTTAAACAATTTAAATACAATATGGACACTTAGAAGCAAAATGGCGACTCTTCAATTTTTAACAGTTTAATTAGGACATTCATGTACTTCCGTTTCCAATTAATAAATTAAGTGACAATTGTTTATAAATAAAAGCATTTAATAAAAAGAAATAATTCAAGGAAGGTTTTACGGAATTGAATGGATATACCACTTGGATTAGGATATGGAATATGGAAAGAATTAACAGGTGAGTGAGTTTATATTGAATTATTGATTATTTAATACATGTACATGCATATATATGTAAGAACTGATATAGATTATTAACAATTAACAATACTCTTATATTTAATGTATTTGTTATAGATAAATCAACTTGTTAGTTAATATCTACCATGAATTTTTTTATTCCCGAAATCGATATTTTTTTAATCAAAATAAAGTACTTTTTAAACATAGGCTATGTATATATAGGTGAACACAGGTTAATAATTAACCCTCTATTATCTCCTACACATTTCATTTATTAAAAAATTAAGATTTGTTTTTCTTATTTTCGGAAATATTATTCTCGTTAGATTTTTAGTTTATTTTGTAAAATTAATTGCCAGACTCTTTATAAATTAATTAAATGTCTCCTTTTATAACATTAGATAGATAGATAGATTTATTTCGGCAAAGGAAGCATATACATAGTTGACAATATAACATAGGATAAAATAATGAGCATTATTAAATACTATATCACATACGAGTAAAACTATGACATGCTCACCAAAACCAAGGATAACACAAAAAAGGGCAAAAAAGCTCTTATTTCCATTGAGGTCCTTTGTATTGGCGGCATGACATAGAGAGGCAAACCTAAATATAATCATGTTTAAAATCCTTGATAGATGAAGCTGATTCAATGGATGTACCAAAACAGGTTATATGCAGGTTAGATTGTGACCTAAGCTTTTGCCTGGACCCAAATAAAATTGACTTGGTTTTACCCAAGTGCAATGACCACTTATTGTCCACTAACCATTGGCTGACCAATTCCATATCATCTGTCAATGCCTTTTTAACAAAAGATAAACTTTTACCAGATACAAGGATACCAGAATCATCAGCATACAAAAGCAATTTATTTTTGACCACAGCTGACATATCATTTATATAAATTAAAAAGAGAAGGGGTCCAAGGATTGAGCCCTGAGGAACACCACATGTTATTTTGGAATTGGAAGAATAAGTACCAGAGACATCTACAAGCTGCTGTCTATCTGATAAATATAATTTGAACCAATTTAGGACGTCAATACTAAGACCTGATGCTTGCAGTTTCATTAAAAGAATGGAATGGTCGACTGTGTCAAACGCTTTCTGCAAATCCAGCAGCACCATACCAACAACATTACCTTTATCATTTTCATACCTGATAAAGTCTATAAGGTGAATCAGACAAGTATCAGTAGAGAAGCCAGTCCCGAAACCTGATTGAAATTTATTAAAGCAATCTTTATCCTTAAAATAAGCTTCACCTGGGCAAAACCCTTTTCAAAGATTTTTTAGAATACAACATTTAAAAAAGGAACAGCCCTAATAAAAAGATTTTTTTTTTTTTATAAGGGAAAAACCCCTTTTGAATTAAATCATAGGACTTGCCTTAAAAGGGGTAAATTTTTATATATACTAAGGCAAAATCTGGGGCCCAAATTCTTAAAACTAGGGTTACATCAAACCCTTTTTTTTGGCCCCTTTAAAAGAAATTGCTTTTTTCGAAACAAGAAAAAAAAAACTTTTAAAACACCTTTTTTAAATTTTAAAAAAATTTAAAAAAAATTTATGAAAATTTTGGGAATTTTTAAAAATTTCTGAATTTTGGGATAAAAATTTAAAAAATGATTACCAAAAGTTTTTTTCCAAAACACCTTTTCAATTTAACAAATTTTGTTTGGGAAAAAAACCCTTTTTTTGGGAAAAGGAAAACCAAATTTTAAACTTTTTTTAAAAAAGAGGTTTATTTTTTTTATATTTTATTATTTAAAAAAAGAACTTTTTTCCTTTTTTTTTTTTCACAGAATGAACTTTTTTTAGGCAAAATATTATACCCGTTTTCATACATTTAAATTTTTTAAAAGTTTTTTTCAAATAACTAATGTCTGGCAATATTTTTTTTTTTTTAATTTGTCTTTTACATGTTTTTTCTACCAGATAAAAAAATTTTAAAATTTATATTGGGAAATTTTAAAAAACATTCAAAAAAAGCCAGTAAAAGGGAAGACAAAACTGAAATCATCTTTGTTATAATTTTCAAAATTTAAAGGACATTGTTATGTAAACATCTTATAACATAACATAAGTGAAATTTAACTGACTTTTCTTTTGTACAAATATCTAAGCTATGATCACTAAATGAAGTATGAATTACCCTGACTGAGTAATTGTACTCATTATCAGACACCAATATCAAGTCAATAATAGTTGCACTTGTAATACTAACTCTAGTAGGTTCTGAAATCAATTGTTTTTGTAATGAAACATATTAATAAATGACTTTAAAACATTGCAAAAGAGGATAAGACTTAACTGTAGACACATCTGAATTAAAATCTCCTAAAATTATAGATTCACATTGTAAAAAGTCACTACTGACGAGCATAAAGAGTCTAAAATTGTATAGAAGTTTAGTTGCACAGGAGGTCTATAAATAACACCACATAAGATAGTTTTGATTTTGGTAAAAGTATATCAATCCATGTAGCTTGTAATTCTTCATGCTTGAGATCATCACGTGTGTTGTAGGATGATTCCTTCCTGATATAAATACAAACGCCATCCCCTTGTCTGTTTCGATCCCTGCGCTGAATACAATAGTTGTCGATGTTAACTTCAGATTCTGGAACTGAGTCATCTAACCATGTTTCGGAAACACAAATACATGCGGCTCTAGATCTACGAGCTACAGAATTAATTTCATGTAGTTTTGGTAAAAGACTTCAAGTGTTCACTTGAATGAAATGAAGGCCACGTTTATTGAAAACTTTAAAATCACTTGTGGTGGAACTACAAGTGTCACATGAGGGTCCGGGGCACGGATGGATATCTCCACACAACAACAAGCATATAGGAAGTAAATCGTTTCTGCTCTCTATAGTACGAGAAACATATTTTCTAGTTGACACTGAACAATTAATAAAGGTGTTAAAATACACTAGTTGTCCATAATTGACTTGTAAAACGTTAATACTGTCCGAAATATAATTGTCAGGATACTGTTCTATTTGGAAATCATGAGAATCCTTCTCCTTCATAAAACGACATGAAATAAGTGTTAAAATGAAAGTTACCTTCACTGGGTTCATTATTGGACAGTATAGATGTGTGAGGGTACATGGAATCCACAAATAAATAATAAAAAACTGGTCTGTCCGAAAATTACACTAGCCGGAAACTGTTCATGTATTGCACGTATGGTGTGTGTTCTTATACCTTGGAACACGTAGAAAAGCACAACTTGCCTGAGTAACAACAAGTCTTTTATAAAACGTCATAATCACTAGTGAGAAGAGGTCTTAAATGCTTTAAAATAGAATAATTAAAAATGTAAACAAATGCCTCTCTAGGTCATAGCTCACCAAATCTTAACATAGATGCTGACCTGTCAACCAGTTTCCTTTAAAATATATAGTAGCCCTAGGGTCTAAACTGACTCTGTCTGGTGAGGGCATACTTTTTTTCTTATAATTAAAGTCATCATGATCTTTTTTTAAATCAATCAATACTAAAGCTAAAATATTTATGCAGTAAACATTGTCTAGTTTACCTGTACCAAGTATGTTTAAATTAAAGTCCTTTGGTCAATGTTTGTCCAACAGGTGGGGGGGTCTTAGATCTTCCTTTGAGTAACAATTTAGATATTCTTTCCTTATACAATGAAAGTTTAATTCCAGATATTTGTCAAGACACAAACTCTAGTGGAAATCAATCAAAAAAAAAATTAGAATAATAAGATAAAACGATCAAAAATGACTGAAAACGAATTCTGGCAACATCATTATCAGTTATTTCTTTGAAAAGTAACAATTTATTATATTAATGAAATGAAATTAGGATATCTACAAACCGTGATCTGGCAGAATGCAGTTACGTTCAAAATTATAATTATAAGATAAATTGTTAAAAAAATACTCAAAACTACTTGGCTACATTTCGGTATCAGTTTTTACTTTAAAAAGTAATAATTCTATAGATTTGCAATGGAATTGGGATTTTTTTTATTCCCAGTGTCAAGGTAAAAATCTACTTCTTAAACTTGAAAATAGGTCCAAGTTTCTTAATATTTTTTTAATTATGCATAGTTCAATGGCAACACAGAAATTGATTTTACAAAGAATTTTTTTTTTATTTAATCGTATCATGTAAAGATGATTTTATAATATTTCACGATGTTTTATATAAATAGTTTATGTTAAATTTGATGCATTTTCAAAATGGCGCCATTTGTCGGCAAATATGCTATGTTTTTCAACAGATCATGGCTTTATGACATTATTTTCTGAAATATTTATCTTTCTTTCACATGTTTAAAGATTTTTAAAGAACATCATGTTGTCAGAATTTTCATTTTGCTCCTGTATTTAGGTTTTGCCCTTTTCTTGAACACTTACATAATTTGCGTATAGAAAACTATACTGAGTTATACCAAGACATGTTATATTGTGGCGAGAACGATTTGCATAGCGCGTTTCCAGACCATTCTATTTTAAGATAAAAATTATTTTATTGGTTACATCACGTTATTAAGTCACTGAAACAATGAAGGGGCTTAAAATCAAAACAGTGAAATTATCAAATTGATAATTTCACTGTTTCAAACAGTGAAATTGTCAGTTTTATATTTCACTGACATATTTCTATAAACCACCGGAAAACATGTAATAAATACAAATCTTTATTTATTTATTTAGTTGTATTAATATGTGCCTATCAGTTATAGGTTGATATGTTTATTTGTAAATAAGATATTTATGTATTGCTCATCCATGTTCTAGTCAGTTTTGATGGTGTGTTTTTTTAGGTTAAGTATATACAAATGTTTATAGTTATCTATAAGTTTTAAATACTATTTTTTGTGTTTGAGGTACTGTGTATCTCATTGTCAAACTAATTTGTTTATATGCATGTACATAATTTATATTCAAATGATCAGAAAATGGCATGTATATTACTTACCTATATGTAATTAAGAAAGTTACATACATTCAGGTAACACAATAAGGATACATCCAGAACGATGGGATATTGTCATGCTACTATGTCGTGAAATATGGCGAATTAGGGTCATCATGGCCTTCTTGTTACTTTAAGAGATGTTTTTTTTTGTGTATATGTATATAGTT